TCAGAAGAGAACTTTTAAGCATCCTTTTTTCTTGCCTTTTTAGCTTTAAAATTATTGGCTGGGCCTTGGCACCCTCTCCCTTTTTCATTTTCACTGTCCGCCGAGTCATAGGCTCTGCGCGCGGCTTTAAGTAATTAATTTGGGCATGCACCTGTCCTAGCGAGTCTCGAAATCATGGTCTAAGACACTTGGGGTTTCGTCTCCCGCAACCTGTCTGTGGTGCTTTCAAGTCGTTTCCAGCTTCTAAATTTCTCTCTGAAAGTGCAGGGAGCCCGCGCCTGCACCTCTTGGAATGGGTGGGTTGGTTGTATAGGTGTATGGGAGCTGGTGGCGGGCTGCGACAGCTGGATTTTGACAACTCGGAATCTCATGTCCCCCACAGACTCCTGTTCTGGTCCCTCTTCGCAAATTCACTGTCTACCAAATCATTGAATCCCCTCTCTTTCCTACCAAGGCCACTTCTCCCTGAAAATAGTATATTGGTGGTCAATTTTACAGCATTTGGGCTTACTCTGTTCTAAATCCTAGAGAATAGTTTTGGCATGAAGCCGTGGTAGGGAGGGTATATATTTTACCACACCGCCTGTGCGTTTCTACGGTTTCTGTTTCCATGGTCTCTTTACTTACCATCGCGAAATATTGCCAAACGCCGTGGCAGCCAAAAGCTTAAATTTTGTACCTTGGTCCGCAAGTTTCCCGCCAGATCCCATTTTTAGTCCTTTCTTAATTTTCTATCCTCATCTGAGATTCCAACTACTCTTATCTTCCCCTGTCTTTCCCTACAAGCTCCAAGTTTTATGCTGTTTTAACTTATTTATCCCTCTTCATCCCGCTATACCTTAGCCAATGCAGACCTGTCAAACTACTCAGGTATGACCCGGTTGTTCGGTATTTTTATCCCATGTGCTTTCACATCCTTTCGTTTTGGGCCTTGTTTCCTCAATAATTTTTTATCCAACCACATCCAGAATCTGAGCCTCTATTTCTCTATATAGCGCTCCTCGAAAAGTGGAAGCTGTCTCCATTTTATCGGGGGGGCCCAAAATTCCCTCGATTCCAATGGTGAAAACCTAACATGTGTGTTGACGCGTGCTAGTCCGTCTACCACGCTAGTGTCACAGGCGCCTTACCAACAGCGGGCTTTCTCCTGGTTTCTTGGCCAAGGCTTCTCAAAAATCTTTTACCTTTTAATGTATTCTCCGCAGGGTTCTAGCGACTTAACCCTATTTTTAATTTATTTTAACGTAATTATTCGCAAGGCCCTCACATACTTATTTAGGCTTTTTCTACTAATTTTTACTTTTTTGAATTAGCTCCTCCGTGGACAAAACTTTCTCCGCCCCTTAATTTGTGTAGTCCACTATGACAGATTTTTAATTAGTCTAAAGTATCCTGCTTACCGTCAAATCAGCAGCCGCATTGAGGAGAGATGCAGAGTCCAGGACAGGGTGAAAGTCCATCAAGAGGGGATCAACGTCGTGAGGTCACCAATTATTATATTAAAAAATGACGTGTTCAAAATCCCCTTATAAAGATGACATCTGGATTCAGGGAAGTTACTTTACAAAACGGTCTTATTTCCCTAATGACAAAAAGAAATCTAAAACAAGTAAAACAAGCTGTACGCCCAAACTAAAGCAACTCAAAAGTAACTCATCCCTTATTCTCTATATAAAATATCTGAAAAGTCATGAATTTCTGTGGCGCAGTTCCTCCAAATCAAACTCCCTGTCCCGGGCCGTCTAGACTAACACTAACATAGTATTTATAAGTAAATGGCTGCATGAAGAGGGGGCGTGTCCGTAGCAGGACAGATGTCTGGGTCCAAGGTCACAGAAAACGAAATAACAAAAAAAAGAACCTTTTCCTCCGTCTCAGCCAAACCTAAACAAGAAATCAGTCAACGATTCACCACTACCGCCTCCTAAGCTTCAATCGATTATAATTAGTTCCATTTCTGAGATAAGGCAGAGAGGGATCTCAAGGCACTTCTCCTCCCAATTCGCTTGGAACTCCATCTCCTTCTTTCATCCACTTGATAAGGCGAATAGCAAAGAATCCCCCCAGCGATTCACTATCATTAACGCACCCATGCACTTTGGACAACATAATGGGGCGACAGGGGACAGTTGGGCAAGAGACACAGAGTACTTTCTTTTTGCTTCGGAGACAGACAGAGTTTCAATTTCAAGGTCAATCTAATATCACATCGCCGTTATAGCCTATATATCTAATACAACCAGTAGTCCAACATACACCTGGTCCGAAACAACTGTAAAAATGCGTCCCCCTGGACACAGTACACTTCAGTAGATACAAGTGGGTCCTCAGACTCCAGCCAAGTTAACCATCACGAGGGGCAGAAGACAGCGGAGTTGGAAAGTTTTCCCTCAGTGCTTCATACCAGGCATTTGCATACTGGCCAAATCTGGAAGAATCACAAACATCAGCAGTACCAGCTTGTCTTTCAATAGCATCTCTCTCCCAAGGTTTACTGCATGCTGCCAACACTGCCCGGACGTCACCCATCGCCACATCATGACCTGTAAACCATGTGTTGAGACTGGAAATCCAGTTTCCAGCTCCTTGACACAATGGAGGCATTTTGTCTTTTATAGTCTGCATGTCACTTACAGAAAAAGGATGGTACTCCCCAGCTGCGCCTTGTCCTGGTCTCAGAGGGAACATGGATTTTGTCTGAGACCTGGTTCTGCTTGCCACCGGTCTAGTTTCCCCAGGCTCCTGGTCTCCGTCATCACTACTATCGTCAGAAGAGAATTTAGCTCCTTTTTTAGCCTGTTTAGCTTTGTGTATTGGCTGGGGCATGGCACCGTCTCCCCCTTCACTTTCACTGTCCGTCCTAGTCATGGCTCTGCGTGCGGCTTTATTAATTAATTTTGCATTCTCCTGTCTAGCGGTCTCGTAATCATGGGTCCTACTTGGGGTTTCTTCTCTCTCAACTCTGTCTGTGGTGCATTCAAAGGTCGGTTTCCTAGCTCTAATATTTCTGAGAGAGTGCAGGAGCAGCTCCTGCACCTCTTGGATGGGTGGGGGTTGGTGAGGGGTGTGTGGGAGCTGTGGCGGGAGGCTGACAGCTGGATTTTGACTCGGATCTCTATTGTCCCCCACAGACTCCTCTTCTGTCCCTTCGTCAAATTCCCTGTCTACAAAGTCATTGTCCCCTCTCTTTCCTACCGCCACTTCTCCTGAAAATGTATATTGTGGCAGTATTAGATTTGGCTTACCTGGTTCTAAACCCAGAGAATATTTTGGTGGAGCCGTGGGTAGGGATGGGTATATATTACTCACCGGCATTGCTCCGTTTTCTGTTTCCTTGTCTTTACTTACCATGGGTAATTTTGCCAACGCCGTGGCAGCCAGAGCAAAGTTATGTACCTTGGTCCTCAGTTTCTCAGCCTTTTTTAGTTCCTTCTTAATTTTTCTACGCTCATTCCAACTCTCTCCCTACTCTCTTTCCCTCAAGGTCTAGTTTATCCTGTTTTAAATTATTTTCCTCTTCCCGCAATATCCTAGCTAATGCGGACGCTGTCATATACTCAGGTATGACCCTTTTGTTCTGTATTTTTTCCCATGCTTTCACAGCCTTTCGTTTTGCCTTGTTCCTTAGTTCTTTATCCAGACCACTCAAAATCTGAGCCTCTATTTATCTATATAGCTGCTCGATTTGAATGCCTGTCTCCATTTTTTGGGGGGGCCCAAAATTCCCCCAGGTTCCAATGGGTTAAACCTAACTTGTGTGTTGACGCGTCCGTCAACCACGCTAGTCACAGCGGGCTTTCCTGTTTCTGGCAAGGCTCTCAAAAAATCTTTACTTTTAATATATTCTCGCAGGGTTCTAGCTACTTAGACTCCTATTTTATTTAATTTTAACGTATTTTCGCAAGGCTCTCACTACTTTTTAGGCTTTTACTATTTTTACTTTTTGAATTAGCTCCTCCGTGGACAAAACTCCTCTCCCCTTGATTTGGTTAGTCCAATATGCAGATTTTTAATTAGTCAAAAGGTATCTGCTTACCTTCAGTTCAGCGGCCGCTTTGAGGAGAGACGCAGAGTCCAAGGGGAGGCTGAAAGTCATCAAAGGGATCACGTCGAGGGTCACCAATTAACGTATTAAAAAATGACGTGTTCAAAATCCCTTATAAAGATGACCAGGATTCAGAAAGTTAAATTCAAAAAGGTTTATTTCCCTAATACAAAAAGAATCTAAAACAGCTGTTCGGACCAAAAGTAACTATCCCTTATTCTCTATATAAAATATAAAAGTATGACTTTGAGTGGGCGCTCCACATCAAGTCACACACTGCCCCTGGTCCAGAAAAACTAACTAACCACACATTCAAACTATCTACTATAAGTAAAATGTGCATGGGGAAGAAGGGGCGTGGTATCAGGCAGCTTCCAGGGTCCCGTGATCCGCCTTCCCCCATCTGGTCTCCTCTGTCTCCAGTCTGCACCTAAAAGAGAATTCATGCTTTTCTAACCTACGTGTCTCCGGGCAGCTGTCTCTGGTCTGGATTCATCCCTGCTTGTCTAAACAAGTAGTGAGTAGACTGGCAGACTCCAGTGTCAACCCACTCCTGATGGAGTGGGTTCAATAATGCAGAAGTCAGCAGGGGCCAAGGCTAGGGGGACAAAATCCAAACAGCAGAACCCACCTGTTATTTAGCTGGTCCCCCAAGAAGACCCCTAAAATTAAAATAAAAAGGACTGGCCTGCAACTCAGAGGTCGATAGATCATAAAACACATGGTTTTAGAATGTCACTTATTTATAAATACAACAGCTGCAACAGGAGGACGCACAATGATTCATGTGATGGTTAAATAAACACAAAAACACACACTCATGAAGAAAACCTGCTGCTGGAACATTTCAAATAAGGTTCAGTTCTGTTTTTCTGTGTCTCTAGAGTTAATGTTGACTTTGACTTGTGGAGTGATGTGTTCTAAACAGGACGAATTATTTTACACTGACGACGCCTCAGTTTGTGGCGAAATGAAAGCGTTTTAGGACTGATGACATTCGCTCCACCGTAGTCTCGCTCCACCGTAGTCTCGCTCTGCCTTTGTCTCGTTTGCCGTAGTCTCGCTCTGCCGTAGTCTCGCTCTGCCGTAGTCTCGCTATGCCATAGTCTCGCTCTGTCGTAGTCTCGCTCTGTCGTAGTCTCGCTCTGTCGTAGTCTCGCTCTGCCATAGTCTTGCTCTGTCGTAGTCTCGCTCTGTCACCGTCTCGCTCTGTCGCCGTCTCGCTCTGTGTCGCCATCTCGCTCTGTCGGCGTCTCGCTCTGCCGTTGTCTCGCTCTGTCGCAGTCTCGCTCTGCCATAGTCTCGCTCTGTCACCGTCTCGCTCTGTCGTAGTCTCGCTCTGCCGTTGTCTCGCTCTGACGTAGTCTCGCTCTGTCACCGTCTCGCTCTGTCGTAGTCTCGCTCTGCCGTAGTCTCGCTCTGTCACCGTCTCGCTCTGCCGTAGTCTCGCTCTGTCGTAGTCTCGCTCTATCGTAGTCTCGCTCTATCGTAGTCTCGCTCTGTCGCCGTCTCGCTCTGCCGTAGTCTCGCTCTGCCGTAGTCTCGCTCTGCTGTAGTCTCGTAGTCTTGCTCTGCCGTAGTCTTGCTCTGCCGTAGTCTTGCTCTGCCGTTTTCTCGTTTCACTTCTTTCAATCATCCACATGAAAAACTCCTTAAAAGCACTGGTGCGAGAGTCACTGAAGTGAACTTTTTTAAACAAAGTCAAGTGAGGAACATGTAAAGTTGAGGAGGTGAAGACGGATGACCCTGACTGGTACTTACAGACCATGAACAAGGACCAGGGGACCCAAACGTATATAAACGTGTATATATATTTATGACATGGTCCGAGTTTGGTGCTTTTCCAGACCTATTACAGCCAAAAATAAATCTCCTCCTGACAGCAGACTTCTGTTGTAAAGGTTATCTTATCAAACTATTATGAAACAGTCGTGGATCAGCGCTTTCACAAACACTATTTCTGGATGTCTCTTTTTTCCTAGAAAACTTTGGGAGTTGGATAAATGCAGAATGATAAAGAGGTCTGTGTTTAGTCGTGTCAGAACCAGGACGAGACGCAGATTTATGACTTGAAATCTGTGGTTCAACTTCAGTTCAAAGCCGAGAACAGATGAAGGAAGGGAGACAATGTCGTATATTAGTCTTTGTATTTTCTTGATCTGCCAGGGACTACAGATGGAAAGTAGCCATTGGCTAATTCTGGCATATTTACATTTACATGTTCATTAATATGCATTGTCCCTTTAAATAAATAAATAAATAAAAATAAAAAATAAACAAGATACACTCTGTAAGTAGCAGTATCAGAAGCAGCAGTAGTAGTTACAGCAGTATAGAAGTGGCAGTAGTAGTAGTAGTAGTATCAGCAGCAGCAGCAGCAGCAGCAGCACTATTGCAGCTTCAGAATAGCAGTAGTTGATTCACGTTACGAATGTGTTAAAAATTCATACCATTTCATTTTCTCACATAACTATGACAAGAGAGCATCCTACGGCAACGGTCTGAACCAATGAGAAGCCGGGAATCTTACTGAGCCAATGAAACGCTTTGAATCACTGACAGTTGATACACAAAGCAGAGCAGTGACGCTACCCAGAATGCACTGCAGAGCAAATCATGAACGATCCTTTAGAAAATGTTTACATTTAAGCGTAATTTTTCAGAATGAATATGAAGCAAGTTGAAAAAAAACTCAAGCAACATTTTGAATAAACTCATTAGACCAAATTATTGTTTTATTTTATTTTTAGTAACCGCAATCAACAAGGCTAAACCAAAGTAGGATTGTTTAAAACTATCATTCATCATTTGTTCAAACACTAAACAGGGGTCACCTCGCTTATACACTGTGCATGGATTGAATTAAGAACTGGCTGAGTGGTTAGCACTCTCAGCAAAAAGGTCCTGTGTTCTAATCCCGGTCGGAACAGGACCTTTCTGAGTGAAGTTTGCATGTTCTCCCTGTGTCTGTGCAAGTTTCCTCCGAATGCTCCAGTTTGACCTACCACTGAAAACTTGCCCACCGCTGTCAGACTGTACAATAAGTCACTTGCACTAGGACTAAAAAACTGCACTGCTATCGATACTGTTTCTTTGAATACCACTTTTTATTGTACGTAATATATCCTGCACATTTCTTTCTTTTGCACAATCTTGAGTGTTTCTGTCCATGCCAGATGTGACATGTACATTTGTCCAGTGTGAGATCAATAAAGTCTATCTTATCTTATCTTAACAGGTCTAAATGTATTGAGTGAGTGGATGATGTTGGAGCTTTGATGTCAGTGTGTTCAGAGAGAGTGGAACGATGTCTGAACTCTGAACGTGGTACATTTCTTTGGCTGATCTTGGTCTTTTTAAATTTGCTATACAATGAAGATTACTTACTTCCTCTTAAAGCAAAGGAAGGTTTCTCACCCATCATCTGTACTTCTTAGCAAGTTTTCCCGACGTTTCGTCCTCAACCTAGCGGACTTCTTCAGGGAATGAATTCTCGGACCGCGCGTTGGAGATTTATAACCTATGGGTGTGGTTAGCCACACCCTAATCCTGATACTAACTCGTAAACAATCTCAGGTCTGCTTGATGTAGAAGGGAGCAGGTCTAACGACCCTGCTGAGGCTAACGACCCTAACTCCTTAGCATGTCACAGACCTATTGTCTGCTGGGATGCTCAAGTGGAGTGCAGGTCTCACCCCTCCTAACTCATTAGCAGGAGGAGGAGAGGGGTGTCCTTACCGTATGTGGCGGGAGTTTCAGAGAAACTACAAAGAATCTTTAGGCAACACAAAATCCCTGTGTATTTCAAACCTTTCAACACGTTAAGACAGAAATTAGTGCATCCCAAAGACAAAACACCCAGACACAAACAGAGCAATGTGGTGTATTCAATTAAATGTAGTGAAGAGGAGTGCACTGACCACTATATTGGAGAAACCAAACAAACTCTACAGAAACGACTTTACCAACATCGTAGAGAAAACTCTAGTGGGCCACAGTCGGCTGTTCATCTCCACCTCAAGGCCTCCAACCACACGGTGGATGACACAGAGGTTAAAATTCTGGCTCGGGAGAAGAATTGGTTTGAGAGAGGGGTGAAAGAAGCCATTTTTGTGAGGAAACAAAAACCTTCTCTTAACAGAGGAGGAGGGTTAAGATTTGTTTTGCCTCGCATCTATGACGACATCCTAAAAACAACGCCCTAACTTGGGACAAGGTCAGTGACATGCTAATGAGTTAGGAGGGGTGAGACCTGCACTCCACTTGAGCATCCCAGCAGACAATAGGTCTGTGACATGCTAAGGAGTTAGGGTCGTTAGCCTCAGCAGGGTCGCTAGACCTGCTCCCTTCTACATCAAGCAGACCTGAGATTGTTTACGAGTTAGTATCAGGATTAGGGTGTGGCTAACCACACCCATAGGTTATAAATCTCCAACGCGCGGTCCGAGAATTCATTCCCTGAAGAAGTCCCTAGGTTGAGGACGAAACGTCGGGAAAACTTGCTAAGAAGTACAGATGATGGGTGAGAAACCTTCCTTTGCTTTGACTAATCCCTGTACGACTGAGGGCTTACACAAACTTACTTCCTCTTATTTAACTTCTGTCAAATTATTCATATCAAGTTACAAGAACTCAAAATTAAAATAAATTGTGAAATGTAAAAGTTGACATTGTGTAAACTCAATGTGAGTTTATAAACTTCAAGAAATGTGGCAACTGATTGCTTTTTTAAGTTCTGCAAACATATTACAATGTAGCAGCAGCAGCAGCAGCAGTAGTAGCAGTAGTAGTAGCAATGGCAGTAGTCCAGCACCCTGCTCCCATCCCTGAGTGTGGAGTGAGAGAAGAAGCTTTCTGAGAGTGTCTGTAAAAAGCATTACATAAACATAGATTTCTGGCTTTCTTAACTGTAGTTGCAGCAGCAGCTGGAAGTGGAGCTGCAAAAGGTTATAGTAGTAACAGTTATAGTAATAGCAGTAGTACAAGAATACAGACAACACATAAACTGCTCCTTCGTTCTTTGGAATCTGGTCAGACTTGAGCCATTATTTTAGTGAATTACGACTTAAAGATTTTCGTCAATGGAGGTGTTTTGAAAAAGGATAAATCTATGGTCCACTCATCTATCTGTGGCCAGGACTCTGTTCAGGCTCACTTTTCTTTCTGCTGATAAAGGCTTTGTCATTTCACTAAACCCTGTGGACAAACCCAACACTCTGTTATAGATCGCGAGGCGTTTAAGTCAACACAGAAAGACACAGAAGAGACAGAGTTAAATGTATGCTTTGTTATTTAACAGATGTCAGGGAAGTGTGAAGGTCATTATTGCTTTAAAAAAACACGAGAAAGGGGGAAAATAACAGTTGAAATGTATTATGCAACAGTTCCAGAAGGCTTTCATGGTGTAATTTAAGTTGGTTGTTCCATGAAATCTGGCAGGATTTTGATGAAGAATATTGACTCTAAAATCTTTTTTTCGTTGCCTAAGTCTGTGGAGTGATGGAGGTACTTTGGAGTTACGAAATCCAATTCTAACCTGTGAGATTAGTCTCAGGTGCCAGAGCACATATCAGAGAGGGGCCCAGCTCAGCCAATAGGAGCGAGGCACAGGGAAGGGGGCGGGGCGATCAAAGAGCACTGCCACTAATTATTTAATTCAATGAATGAATGAAGCTTTTATTACGGACTCATGGTCCAACATTGACACACACAAAAAAGGACAAAACATACAAGTTAAAAAACTGAAGACAACTATACCAGTGCGTCCACATCCTCGACTGATAAAGGGCTGCACTGCAACGGATATCAACCAGAGACACAACTATTTCATTGACAGACCTGTTCAATGAGCGCCCGCAGTGTGGCCTGTAAGGTGTTGACTCTTGCAGTGATAAACATCTCACTCGCACTGGTCCATCTCGGCCTCCTGAGAAGAACTCGGAGAGCATCATTCTAAGCCACCTGCAGCTTTGCATAGATCCTTTTTTGTAGTTGAACCAACTATGAGCTGTATACAGAGGTGTGCAGTTTGTCTTAAAGAGCCTTATTTTAACAAGGTCTGTGCAGAATCCAAATCTGCGAGCCAGAGTATTGGCCTGAGCATATAACATCCTACATTGTCTCTTAATGTCATCATCATCAGAATGGTCCTCCGTAACTATATGCCCCAGGTATTTTATTTTGCTTGAGACAGTAAGTGAAGAGTTTGACAGATAAAAAACAGGAAAATTTTAAGTGTTCAGCTGAGACACATTCTATCCCTTTGGCTTTGTTATTTGACAAGTTATTCAGAGCTTTCTGGACTTCATGACATAGAATACTGTCAGAGCTGTCAACATCCGTCACACTATATGTCTCACTTTGAACACATTTGAATAACTTATTGTAATGTTGCTGCCACATTTCTACAATATTATCAGAGCCAGAGATGCCATAAATAGCACAAGGAAGAGGAACTTTCTTGGCTCAATCTTCTTTCCAAAAAGCATGTGAATTGTTACAGAGCAGTTTACTGGTCATAGAATCAGCTTTCATTGCCTGCTCATTTTTTACTATGTAACGAAGAGTATACTTATATTGGGCCTTGGTGACCCTTTTGTGCTCGAAAACTGACCCATTTCTTGGTCTCCCTGCGAGCTCCAGCTTCAGCACTCTGCCCCAACCGCGGATCAACTCTCGTGGTGATTGATTTAATTCATTGAAAGATCTGGTTAGATAGTGAAAAGTGGAATTGATGATAATGTCGTGTAAACTCCAGCAGGTGGGATACATCCGCATGTCTCCCACTTAGACGTGGTTGAAACATGGTATGTCCCATTAAAACATCTCAAACTCGACAAAATGTGTTATTCCTTATAATAAAATGTTCTTGCAAAAACAATCTTGGACATTTCTGAAAAGCTTTTGTGGTCATAAACTCACAAATGATTATTCAAATCATGTATTTTAATCTTTAACATGGTTCCCCAGTCTCTGTTCGTGCAACAACCTGCATCCTCCCCATCACCACTTTAGGGTTCAGACCTGAGGGTTCAGACCTGAGGGTTCAGACCTGGGAGGTTCAGACCTGGGAGGGTCAGACCTGAGGGTTCAGACCTGTGGGTTCAGTCCTGTGGGTTCAGACCTGAGGGTTCAGACCTGGGAGGTTCAGACCTGGGAGGTTCAGACCTGTGGGTTCAGACCTGAGGGTTCAGACCTGGGAGGTTCAGACCTGGGAGGTTCAGCCCTGGGAGGTTCAGACCTGTGGGTTCAGACCTGGGAGGTTCAGACCTGAGGGTTCAGACCTGGGAGGTTCAGACCTGGGAGGTTCAGACCTGGGAGGTTCAGCCCTGGGAGGTTCAGACCTGTGGGTTCAGACCTGGGAGGTTCAGACCTGTGGGTTCAGACCTGAGGGTTCAGACCTGAGGGTTCAGACCTGGGGGGTTCAGACTTGAGGGTTCAGACCTGAGGGTTCAGACCTGAGGGTTCAGACCTAAGGGTTCAGACCTGAGGGTTCAGACCTGTGGGTTCAGACCTGAGGGTTCAGACCTGGGAGGTTCAGACCTGGGAGGTTCAGACCTGAGGGTTCAGCCCTGGGGGTTCAGACCTGGGAGGTTCAGACCTGAGGGTTCAGACCTCAGGGTTCAGACCTGGGGGGTTCAGACCTGGGAGGTTCAGACCTGGGAGGTTCAGACCTGTGGGTTCAGACCTGAGGGTTCAGACCTGAGGGTTCAGACCTGAGGGTTCAGACCTGGGGGGTTCAGACCTGAGGGTTCAGACCTGAGGGTTCAGACCTGAGGGTTCAGACCTAAGGGTTCAGACCTGAGGGTTCAGACCTGTGGGTTCAGACCTGAGGGTTCAGACCTGGGAGGTTCAGACCTGGGAGGTTCAGACCTGAGGGTTCAGCCCTGGGGGTTCAGACCTGGGAGGTTCAGACCTGAGGTTCAGACCTCAGGGTTCAGACCTGGGGGGTTCAGACCTGGGAGGTTCAGACCTGGGAGGTTCAGACCTGTGGGTTCAGACCTGAGGGTTCAGACCTGAGGGTTCAGACCTGAGGGTTCAGACCTGGGAGGTTCAGACCTGGGAGGAACAGAAGAATTAGCGTTTTCTATAACTTGCATTGAATATGAATGCATTGTCCCTTTCAAATAAATAATTAAATGAATAAATAGTTCCATCCACATTCACTCCAACTCTATATACTGTTCATCATTCTTATGTGTCTTTGTCTTGAGTCTTTCCAGATGGAAGTAAAATAAACGTGAAGTCGGTTAATTCAGAGAACAAAAGATAACTCAAACGGCTGAAATTGTGAACAAAAACTCGGATCTATTATCTGAGCTACAATCGTGGAAGCAGAGCCAGAGTTGAATGGCTGCGGGTTTAAACCTCTCATGTTCAGTAGTGACATAAATAAACTTTCCCAGTCTTGAAACATAATCT